CAACCCATTCCATCTTCAGCCAACTCCATGTGGAACAGAGATGGGCCATGTCTACCAAGCCCTCCCTTAATTCCTGACCCATAGAAATCAGGAGCAGTACAGTAGTTGTTGTTTCAAACTGTTGCATTTTGGGGTGGTTGTTACACAGCAGTAATAATGTGATATCTATTACAGTACTGATCATTAAATACTGTAATGACTTGTATACTTGTCTGTCTTTCCCATTCAAACTGTGAGCTGCTTATGAATGGAGACAGAATATTTTCATCTTTATGGATGCAGCACGTGAAACACAGGGATTCTTTACAACGACAAGCCCATAAAAACAGGGACTCCCCAGGGTGATCCCAGAGAAGCTTGTCACGTTAGGGAATTTTTTTTTTTAGGGAACAGGAACCACAAAACAGAAGTTGTTACAGAATGATGGTGGGAGACAAAAGGAGGATGAAATTTCTGAGCCATTGAAAGTGATACCAAAAACTCTGTTATTTTATAAATTCTCCTAATGGTTGGCAAGATGATGATTGAACTCTGCTTCAATCAGTGTGCGGCATAGGTGAGCCCCACAGTCATTAGTATTCACAAAGACCTGTCAGGCAGCTACCACTGGGTGCACTGAAACTATCAGTCCTGGTTCTCATTCTGCGGTAGTTTATACTGTCACAGAAAAGCAGATGGACCAGAACACTGCAGGCCTTTAGAGAAAGGTGGGGAAAGCAGGAAACTCATCTTAAAAGGTTATAGAACTAGAATGGATCTGCATGATGTCTGGTTTAGTGCTTTCCCCTTATCCTGCATCTACTGAGCCCCATCTCAGTCACAGCATTCCCTGTCACTCTCTAAGCAGAGGTCTCACTAAGTTGAGAGATATTTCTCAAATGTCCTACACTCTGCCCGTGACTCACAGCCATTGTGTTTTCTTCCTCCTTCTTTATGCTATATGACCTTCCCTATGACCTTCACCAAGCTAACTCTTTACATTCATCTCTGGAGCTCCTTTCCTTTCTTTCCCTCATTTGCCACCAGGAATAAACTCCGCATTTTCTCTGCCACTCCAAATGTCTCAAGACTCAGTTCAAGTCTTCCCTCCTCTGTAAAGCCTTCGATGACTACCTCAACCCATGATTTACAAGAAAGTGGTGTTAAGAGAATTGGCTTTGGAATAAAATGGATTTGGGTTTGAATCATGGCTATGCCACTTATGGTTTTGCACAAATTCCTTAATCTCTTGTATTTCTTCATCTGTTCAATAGGCATGGTAATACCACTTCATGGGGTGAGGATACATAAATCTTCTATATCAAGTGCCTACCTTGGTCCTCACACATAGCATGACATTAATATATGTTACTTTCCTTGCCCCTCTTCAAATTTCTGAATTTCTGGTACTTAATATCTGTACCACTCATTTGTCCTCAAACTATACCAGCCTTCTGACAGCTCTTGTCCTTATATTAATGTTAATGTTATGGTCTTACTTTTAATACAAGCTTTCTCCTAATAGCTAGATTATAAACTTCTTATCTTTCTATGTCACAAGGATAACAGATTATTAATAAATATTGGTGAATGAATGAATGGATGGATGATAGAACAAGCAATTACTTCCTTAGGGCTCACTGTACCTGGTAATATTACAACATTCAGAGTCAAGACTCAGTACATGCTGAATTAGACTACCAATAAACCCAGGATACTTTTATTTTTTCAGAAAGGAATCATTAGGGGAAAAGTCATAACTTGTCTTTCATCCTGTAGATGATTAATTTAATATATGAGAATGCAGACCCCATTCCATTAAAAGCTTATATCCAGGGGGATGCAGTATTAAGACTGATAAAGACGCAAGGTCTCTTGGTAAAAATAAGTGGGAATGAAAAAGCAATTATGTTGATAATAATTCCAAATTAATTACATGGGGATTAAGTAAATCAATAGGAAATATTGAGTTTATGGATTAAGACACTAAATGCACTTCTGTCTCTTAGATGTGCACACCCATGAGGCAAGAGAACAAATCTCTTAGAACAATAGAGTTCTGTTACTGACTAAGCCCTCATCCATCAGAAGAGGTAGAATGACAGACATATTAGAAGTGAACAAAGAAAAAGACTTAATCAGTGATGAAAACCAGTTGTCAGTGCATCCTCAGGGCACATGAAGTTTAAAGACAAACCAAAAGCAAATAAACAAACAAAAAACAAGCAATATGGTCAAGCTCCGAAAAAGCTCCACAGAGGAGCTCTAGAAAGTTTCCAGAATGGAGCGTTTCTGGCCATCTTGACAACTTTGAGGTTGGGTTATCAAGCCCTGACTTCAGTGCCAGAGTGTTGAAATCAGGCTATGTTGAAACAAAGGGAAGGAAGGTTCTTGAGCAACTGCCTAACAGTGATTTCCATATTGTTTTTTTTTTATACCAGGGAACGCTTTGGTCAACAGAATCTTATAGGGTCCTTCAATATGCAAAATAGATAAATGTGTTGCTGTGTGGTTGCAAATGAGCAGAAAGAGAAAGGGTTGGGGGATCGTGGGTGGGAGGAAGCAAGTGGGATTTTAGATGCCAATCCATAGAATTCCCTGGTGGTGCAAACGGTTTAACATACTCAGCTGCTAACTGAAAGGTTGGAGGTTCGAGTCCGCCCAGAAGTGTCTTGAAAGAAAGGCCCGGTAATCTACTTCTGAAAAATCATTCATTGAAAACCCTGAGGAGCACAGTTCTACTCGGACACACATAGGGTCACCACAAGTCAAAATCAACTTGATGGCAAGTGGTGGTGGTGACCCTAGGACCTTAGGTCTGAGAGAATGTGTTTTGAAGAGCACTAGCCTAGGATATTTCTGGCCTTTGGGCTTCCAAATAAAATTAACAGGCAAGGTTTTTGGTGAAGACCTAGTTTGCTGAAAGGCCCAAAGTAAACTTTTCTAAAACTTGTGGTTAAGAATCATGATAGTGAAGACAATTTCATTCATATAGTGGGGGAGGGGTGGGGGAGGGAGGAATATAGGCTCTTATTTGCCCTGTTACACCAAGATCTCAGCAGGGTTTATTCCTTCTGAAAAATATTTTTAAGCCATAACTGAGGCTTTCAGTGGAAGCCAATTTCAACTTCACAACACCTAAACATATCTGAGCCAACAAGCTCTGGATAACTCTTCAGAAAGCACTGTCAGAAAAGGCAACAGCAGCCAGGACATTTTCTGCTGCTTGTAGGGAAGTCTCAGTGTTCAAAGATATTTATAGTCTCACAGGAGCAGTTAGTAACAAATCGTTCACCAGTTGCCATTGAGTCAGCTCTGACTCCTGGCAACCCCGTGTGTGTCAAGAGTAGAACTGTGCTCCACAGAGTTTTCATTGGATGATTTTTCAGAAGTAGATCACCAGGCTTTTCTTCCCAGGCACTCTGGGTGGACCCGAACCACCACCTCTCAGTTAGCAGCCGAATGCATTAACTGTTTGCACTACCCTCAGACTCAGATGAATCTTTAGGATCCTGGCTTTTTTCCTTACTTAGGAGTGGTTGTAACCACGGTTTCTAACCTTAGACATTAGAAAAGAATTAAAGTTATAAAACCAAGACGAAGTAAACAGAGAGAACAGTTTTGAAGGGTTCTCTGCCCAAAATTAGAGTCCTCAGGATCAGAATGGTCCAGCTGGCCAGTAGGCAAGTGACCCATGATTTCCAGGTGTTTTAAGGACAAGGAACATCTTGGGTGGTAGTTGGAATTCGTACTTAGTGATTGAATAGATGGTGGTATGACTGTGGTTGTCCTCATGGGAGTTGAGTGCTTTCTCTCCGCATTACACCAGGTTTCACATACTCAGCTGGGAGAGGTCAGGCCTGAGGTTTCTGGGGGACACTTCCCTGTCTAGGATAATGCCTTTTGTTTTGGGACCAAGGTGCATTTTTGGGATCACACACAACCCAGGCTCCACAGCACCCCTCACCTCTTCCAACTGGACATATTAATTTAATTCACTGACTAGAGCACCGGCCCCCAGCAGCCCCACCTGTCCTGTGATCTTAGAAGAATCTAACCTTTCCCCTGGGTGGATGCAGTTTCCCAGGGATAAATGAGTGCTGGAGGATTGCATGGGGTTCACTGAGCAGCCTCTCATTTCCCAACAGTGAAGCTACCTGTTTGGCTACTTGAGTTTGCTCCTAGAGCAGGTGAGCTCATCCCTGCTGCTCAGAGCAGAGCTGGAGGCCATCATGTGGGAAATGGAATGGCAAGATTTGAGAAACTGCCTTTTTACAAATATATCTTGTATACAAGACCCAGGCTGCCACATGTACTTGTAATCCTGAATTCCTCCTCTGTACATCCCCATTAAATATTCTGTCATAAGAGGAGCAAAATAATAATAATAAAATAAAATGGGAAAACAAAAATCTGTTTCAAAGGTGCTCTTTTGACTCTTGAGTGTAACAATGAGCCCCACTTTCTGAAGTGTCTTAGAAAGAAATGCCTATGATGTCAAGTTTCAAAGAAAGACTGGCTTAAAAATCAAGTTGTAAGCTATGACAATGCTTCGCTGAACACCAAAGAGAATTCACTTTTCAACCAGGGAGGCATTTCTCATGTACCAGGGGCAAATGCCTCCTATCCCATATAATCTCACTTCCTCTTTTTCTTATAAAGCATGCTGAATGTAGCATGTTGATGTTGCTTAGCTGAAGAATTTGTGACTTCACAACTCTGCCCCATAAAAAGCTTGGTAGAGGAAAAAAAAGGTTACTATATATACTTGTATATTAGGGAGTTTAAGGTTGTGTGGGGATAAGTGTTTTCTTTATTGAGTAGAAAAGACGTTCTCTCTTTAATTCATACCTAAACTTTTTGGTAGCCAAGCATTTGAAATTACCTGAAGTGAAGAGTCAAAACAATAAAACACTTCATAAAAGGAACTTTAAATTATGACAGCTTCCAACAGCATTACAAAGGAATACTGAAACGTTCAGGTTATTCAGAGTAAGGCGAAGGGGATGAGTGGCTCTTACCTGGGCTTCTTTCGTCATCCCATTCCTCCTGCAGTTTCCACTTTGTGAGCCATTGCTCTGTTTCTCATGATTGTGAAGATTCCCATTGCAAACAGCACCACCTCCAGGATTAGCCATTTGCGTGAAATGACAGAGTCCTGCAGTTTGCCTCCAGAGGGTCTTGTCAAGCTTTTAGTTTTCAAGTTGGTGAGAGGATGGGATAAAACACTTTGAGGCAGAGCCCTTAAAAGGAATCCTACCAATCAGGCTTTTCCAGAAGAAGAGCAACAGCCTGTTTTTTGCCAGATCTTTGAAATGAAAAACAAATGGTCACCTTCGCACTCCTCAGCTCCAAAGAGTCAGAATATGGACTCCAAGGCAACAAACTTGCTTCCAATATGTCAAATGCGGGTGCCCATTTTGGCTCCTGGTGTGGACTGAAGAAACCAGGAGAGGAACAAACCACTGGCAAACTGTAAGGAGGCGGGCTGGGAGGTGGAGAATCTTTTAAAGACACACACACACACACACATCCACAGCTCCAGTCACACTCAGAATCTTTTCAGTAAGGTCAGTTCTGAATTTACACTCACCCACCACATCCCCTCCCTCTCACATCTAATTCCACTTTTGGTTGTCAACCAAGCTCAAAGGTCAACATTTCTTTTTTGCAGAAAAATAACATTCAGAACCCACCAAACTTTAAAACCAGTAATATGAGGGGTACCAACCCATTAAGTATTTCAGTAAGACAGAATCTGGGAGATAGAGTATTTGGTTTTAGTCATGACTTCGTTACTTCTATCACATGACTTTGGGAGAGTCATTCACCCTCTTCCTGCCTCAGCTTCGCCATCTGCAATACGAGACAAAGAAATTTTAGTGGACTAAGTCTGAGGGTGTAATAGGAAAATAGAATTACGACATGGGTTTGTTAGGAGGGGGTGTGAGACAGATAATGGTTGCAGGGTTTAGTCCAGAAACACCTCCGGTTTACTCATTAACTCTTACTCTTTAAATGCCCCAGTCATCAGAAGTACATTTTTATCATCAACTGCTATTGTGGTGACATGGTCTGCTGGAGAGTGTCAATCATTGACAGCCTGTTTGAGTCCTCCAAGCCCACTCTCATGATTCCCCTGAATCAAAACTTTAACATCAGCCACCTGGAAAAGAAACACATTTATTTGGTCAATGGACAGACAACAACATCAACAAACACAAAAACAGAAATGACCTCCGTTCCCAGTGCTCAGCTCTCTTGAGCAGGAGCTTGCTTCCCCTGCAGAATGACAGACGTGGCTTACAGAATGAGGAGGCAATAATGCTTCTCCCAACCATGATTTGCGTGTCTTGGGCCAAATGATGGGATGGATTTTATAGCAAGTGCATCCACCCTGGTTTGTGTCTCAGACAGAGAATTTTTACTGCATCTCTCCTAATCTTTGTCATCAGAGCAGAACTAGCTTTTCACTGGTCTCTCTCCTCTCAGGCTGTTACACTGGGAGTTGAGAGCTAAACTTGTGTTGACTTCTTTCTTTCTGAGATTTATGCAAAAAAAAAAAAAAGATGACGAGGTAGAAAGGAGCACTGATTACTGTTGTTCTGACTGCTTCATGTCACTTAGAAAGGCAAGTGTAAGAAATCATACTGTTATTTTGACCAGGCTCTATTGACCAGCACAGTTATTTTTTGAGATAAAATATACTCACTGACTAAATCTAGAACTTCAGGTGTTTCTCCTCCTTCTCCTCTCCCTCATCTTCTGCCTTCACTTTCATTTTTCTCTTTCCCATTTCCTCTTTCTCTTTCCTCCTGCCCTTCCTCCTCCTCTTTTCTTCTGGTTTCTCTTTCTTTTTACAAGAGGACAAACACCATATATAAAGAACATGTCTCAAAATGCAGGCTGAAATCTGCTTCACCTTTTTTTCTAGCCCCAACTGCTAAGACTAGAGAGTCACACATACATCTTTAGGCAATATCTACTGCATGCTCTTACTCTTAAAATTTCTCTGCTTTACTCCCCATATTGGAATATGCGAATTGTTGCGTGCACTAAATACACCAACTATTCGGCGTCAGGTGCTGGTGGTATGTATAATCAGCAGTGGCTCATTGCTCCATATCATCTCTAGTCAAAATAAATGTGGAGGTCTGTTTGAGTGAGTGGTACCTTTGAATTTATGGATATAGGCTAACACTAAAACACAGAATACAGATTGAACAAAATTTAGTGTCTCTGAATGCATTTTAAATCAACAAGTAACCTCAACAAATATTTGAAGAACTATTATATACCAGATTATTTGCTAAGACTTTGGATACAACGGTGAATAAGACATGGTCCCCCACCTCACAGAACTGACGGTTGGAAGCTTCCGCACATCTTATACTCAAGACATCTCATTACTGAAGGTAAGAACAAATCTTTCTTTTAATGTTTTAAAGCCAAAGATCAAATTAGTTAGAGATGTCCTTCTGGTGTTCTCTGAGGAGACTTTCTTGTCCAGTTGCCAGCTTCTCGGCTCTTCCTGATTGGGCAGGCACAAAGAAAGATAAGGGAGTAGTAGTGGGTAATACAGGGAGGTTAGTGGGCTAATGTGACCTGGAAAAACTCTGGGGCTCACATGGGGTTGGAAAGTTGACAGAAAACGGAGGAAATGAGTAAAATAAATAGTCATATTGTACAGTGTTTTGACATCCATTCACCCTTAGTGACTCAGTCTTTAACTATTTAATGGAGGGTGATACTGGTGAGAAAACTGATGTTTCAAGTGGTTAAGTGACTTTTCGAAGCCATAAAAATACTATGTGGCAGAAGTGGATGGTGAACTCAAGAATCTCTGGGTCCAAAGCAAGCCCCGTTTCCCTTATACCATGACACCTCTTTTTTAGCTGTTGATTTGAGGAGCATGAACCACTAAGGCAATTAATATAAACCGTAACTGTTATGATTTGGGAGATTTCATTGAACTGGCCAAATAACAAATGAAAATACTTTATTTCGCCTTCCCTGTCCATTAAATTCCTGCTAGCTATTGAATAAGTGCAAAGATCTAATGACATTGCAAGATCTACTGAAAAGTCTGTGATTCTTCCACATGGAAGTATTTAAATTTACTGAAGAATTAAGTCTGGAAAAATTCTCAATGTAGGCAAAATTCAGTTTCAAAGATTTTCTAATCAATAGATTGTAAACATTGTAACATAAGAAGGCCAGATATTGACGTTACAGATGTCAGGTTTTGTTTTTCTTCTTTCTTTCAAAACATTGGCTAATAGGATAACAATGCTATTTTAAGTTAGAAAAGAAACCTGTTAATGATGATAACCACCCAACATCAGCAACAGTGGGGTAATTATCTGCTTTTCTTCATGATATAACTCTCTATGGAATAGGTCCACTCAAGTCCTGGTGGTAACAAATACCTTCAGGATGCCCCCAAACAAAGAAGAAGCTGTTTCTCCCACTGCAGATGTCTCAACCCTTTGATTGTCCATGGAAATGAACAACGATTAGAAGAAAATCAGAAGTCTAAATGTACAGCTCAATGAATTTTCAGAAAGTGAACACACCTGGGAACCACCATCCATATCAAGAAATGTAACATTCCCAGAGTCTGCAAACCCTCCTCATACTCTGTCCCATTCATTACTCCTTTCTACCCAGCAAAAACCACTATCCTGATTTCTATCACCATGGATTACTTTGGCCTCTCAATTTTATATAAATAGAATAATAAAATATATGTTTTTTGTGTTTAGCTTCTTTCATTCTATGCTATATTTGAGAAAAATTTCCATGTTGTCAGATGTAGCAGTAATTTATTCTCACTGGTATCTAGTAATTCATTTATGAACATATCATAATTTATTTATCCATTATATTATGGACATTTTGGGTTGCTTCCAGTTTTTAGCTATTCAAAATATTGATACTATGAATTTTCTACTATGTATTTTGGTATATATATACCCTAAGACAGGAATTTCTGGTCATAATATGTGCATATACTCAGCTTTGGAAGATATAGACAGTTTTCAAGTGCTTTACCAGTTTATTCTTCAACCAGTAGTGCGTGAACATCCTGGTGCTCTACATCCTCACCAACACTTGATATGGTCAGTATTTCAAATTTGGTTGCTTGTTGACTGTTCATTGTTTCAATTTTCTTAGGTACAATTTACATACAGTAAAATGCACAGATCGGAAGGGTACAATTCAATGAGTTTTGACAAACACTAAGCTTGTTTGAGGAGCCCTGGTAGCAAAGTAGTTAAGAGCTCGGCTGCTAACCAGAAGGTCGGCAGTTCAAAGCCACCAGCTGTTCCTTAGAAACCCTATGGGGCAGTTGTACTGTGTCTTATAGGGTCGCTATGAGTCATAACTGACTCAACGGCACCTAACAACAACAACAGCAACCTTGTCTGAACTACAAGATTCCAAGTTGGTTGAACTATAAATTTTCCTATCAAGGAGGCTTTGGGAATTAAATCCCTGTGGCTGAAGAGAGAATACAGTATTTACTTGTGCTCCTAACCCGCTCCTTCCAGTGCCAGGCATAATGTACAGGCACATGGCAGGTGTTCAATCAGAGTCTGTGGACAGTTGGATTGACCCAGTTATTATGTATTAACTGCATAGAGGCCATTTACTTACTGACCCGAGTGGCACTTGCCCAGGAAAGGGGAAGCCAGAGCAGTAGCCTCTGAGTCTTAGAAACATCACATAGTAGCCTAACGTCAAGAAAGTCTACTTGTTCTGCTCAAGGTTTTTGTTTCTGGTGCCAAACCACAGCTATGTGATAGGAATGAACTCAAGAGCATTCAGACTTCAGAATAGCCTCTTTCCTCTTTTTTGGCTCTTGCCACGTTGCTGAATGTGTAAAACGAGGTATTTATGCCATGGCTAAAACACATTCACTTCCACGTCCCTGGCACACCACCAATTCTTGATTCTTCACCCTCAGCGTCACTACAGAAAATGTACCATAGAGTTGCAATTTTTCTGCAAATAAAGAAGATGAAAAAACAAAAACAAAAAACAGCTGACTTATTAAAAAATTGGTGTCCTGAATGTTCTTCTGTCAAATAAAACAGTCTTAACTTTCATATGTGTCAATATTCCCTGGAGGCTGGGCGGTGTTAATAATTGGCTCTCTGGGATTAGGCAAATTTATCTCTCTAACGCTTGATTTCCATCCATGAAAAAGTATAACAGCTTCCTAGGGCTGTTATAAGGATTACAGGAGAAAACATTAGATAGTATACAGTACTTAAGTTTACTGTTTCTCTTCCTTTTTCATCCATGAACATTGCTAGTAATGATAGAAAGACATTCATGGAGCTCTTGAGGCTCCTCAAAAGAAAGGCTCAAAGACCACAAGCTATAAATTTGACCGA